GCTTGCTCCCACCTGTTCCATTCCTTCTTCCCGAATCCTTAAATCCCACAAAGAGTCACATCTGAAACTCACACTGGCCTTATCCTATCTGGATTACAGCTAAACAAGTGTATCCTCCCAACACTTGGCACAGACTAGAGTTGAGTTTTAAAAAAGTTTCACAGGTTGCCTTGAACCTCTCTTCCTCTATTAACAATTTCACTCCATCCACATTTATCCACCATTTGTATGGAATCAAACAAATTTTATCTGGGATTCTTCTGGTACAATATTTCTTCTTGTAATTAGACACGATGGCCTTTCATGAAATTGGCTCAACATAATGACACAACTCTATAGGTGTTTTCTTATTTCCAAAAGTTGTAATTGTCACAAATTACACCTTTTTTTTTCTTTTGGGATGCACAATTACTCGCACTTGGGTGAGGGAGACTTCTAGACACATGGGGGAGTCAAGGAAACGTGTTAGACCACAAAGCTATGCTGAATTTTAAATGGCGTTTTAGTCTCGGTGACTTCGGAGATTTCTTATCTTTTTCACTTTCTTATATACAGTAGTCTGTACCTGATTATATAAGCAAAAAAAGCTTTGGTTATACTTACCATCTATAAAAAGCAAAAATTAGCCTTTTTTCCTAACATCATAATTCATTTGTTAAAGTTGATGGTTTCAACTTAATATGCAATTAGTATATTTTGTGCTACCTATAAAACTCCTTATAATCTATAGCAACAACAAAAAAGTTGATCCATCTGTCTATTATTACCAATCATTGTTCATACATTTTTATTTTAATGGCCACTGAATTCTCCAAGTTTCTTTTATCTAATATTTAAATTTATAAAATGTTGTGATTTTGTTCATATTAGAGATTGTTTTTGTTGTTGTTCTTATGCTGTGATAGCTACCAGCTTCTTCTCTTCTAGATTTCTAGAATTCTTATTATTTATTCTGGTTTCAGTGGGCAAAATGACACTCAGCACCTCATTCTTCATTTATTTTACTAAATAATTAATATAGAGCAATGCTTTCACTGGTTTTGAGCCATGGGCCAGGGTACCAACAAATATAAAACTAAAATGTGAAGGGAATTAGCAAAATTATACTTATGAGCAAGTAGTTTGCTATTTTTTAAAAAAGCAACAATGGGTGGGAAACTGCAGCCTTGGCCAAGTTGCTGTGTGAAGTCCCCCACCACTAGGAGAACACAGCATGGCTGTTGTCCTGTTGTTCACCCTTTGGAAATGGTAAGCTTATGGACTGTGTTTTTCATCAACATTTTCTTAACATTTCCAAGTGCAGTTTTCATTTATTTTGTGCATGTTTTTTAGAGTTAACAGAGTAAATAACTTAAGAAATGACATTGATGTTAGCTGTGTATACTGTTAAGTAGTGACAGTAGGTGACATGAACTTCCTTCCACCTTTAAGTCAATCTGTTCTTTCTTGTCTTCAGTTTTTAACATTCTATTTATAATACAGACACTGAACACAGGGTCATTCTCTGTTACAGTTCTTTGGTGAGGAACTAATTCATCTTTTATATTATCAAGTACAGAATATATAAGAAAGTAATAAAGATAAGAAATCTCAGAAGTCACCGAGACTTAAATGCCATTTAAAACTCAGCATTGTTTTATGATCTAACACATTTCCTTGACTCCCCCATGTGTCTAGAAGTCTCCCTAACCCAAGTGCGAGGACTTGTCCTCCATTCATCATTTGCCATTCATGTGGTACAGCTGCTCCCTGTCTGCATTCCTTCTCCTTCTGCCACAACCAACTCTTCTCTCTCTATCCTCCTCTTTGCTCCCATTTACAAGATCTGCTGCATAAACTACTGCAAAGTTTTTGCTTACCATCTCATCTCTACTGACCTCTTTATTTGAGCACAAATTATCATTAATCCACTTATTTGAAAATTATTTTTTGAGCACTTAGTATGTAGTGGGCACTCCTCTAGGCACTGGACAAACAGTATTAATAAAACTATACCTCCCATTCAAGTGAGCTATAAACAGAATGGAGAACAGTACAAAAAATAGTAAGAGGTGAGAACAACTGGGTCAAGATGGCAACGTAGATAACTGTGGTATTCGCCTCCTCCTACAACCACATCACAATTACAACTAAACCACAAAACAACCATCATTCAGAATTACTGAAAATCTGGCTGAATGGAAGCTCTACAACTAGAGAAGGAAGAAGGCACAGTGAAACTGGTAGGAGGGGCAGAGACATGAACCTGTTTGGTCCAACACCCATGTGTGACAGCTTTTTAATCTGGAGGGATATCTTAGCTGCAGAAGTTTCTGTGGGGAGCAAGGAGTCCCAGTCCCCTCAGCTCAGGGTTCCAGTGCCATTAAGAGTAGTTTACATGACTTTGGGCTGTGAAAACCAGCAGGGATTGTGTCTGAGTGACATGAAGACTGCTGGAGACCCAGGCAGTCCCTCTTAAAGGCACATGGACTTACTTTGACTCACTCTCTTTGAGATCCAGCACAGGGAAACAGCTTGAAAGGATCCAGCGACATACATATGGGGATGAACTAAATTATCTGGCATCAGGGCAAGAATTGGGGGTCAGCTTTCTCCCAGACAAGAGTGCTAGCAGAAGCCATTTTATACGAGACCTCCCCTATCACAGAGCAGACAGGCAGGACCAATATATGAGTCTCCATCCACCTAGCCCACAATTTTTGCCCTACCCTAGTGATTCCCTGAGACCCTGCCAAACCCAATTTTCTGCCTCACCCAAGCTATTTGGAGTGGCTTTTCCATATGAATGGCCTATCCTGGCTAAGGCTTCAGACTTTCCTAAAATCTCTCAAAAAAAGCAGCAGCTGGTCCCAGCATGCCCCTATACCCCTCATTAAGTGACCCCAGGCCTGGTACTAGCAGCAGCCTGCCAAGGTTCACAGCTTGACTTCTCCTGAGCATCTCCAAGCCCAACACAAGTAGCAGCTACCTGAAGAATGCTCTGTAGCTTGTGCCAGAAGGCCCCAGGAAGGGCACAGGCAGTGGCTGGCTTTGCTCCTCCTAGGAGACCCCAGAACCAGTGCACCCAGTGGTAAATTTCCAACCACACCATATTACAACCTTACCACATTCACATGCAACATATTCAAGGGGCAGACAAGGTGAACACCCAAACCCCACTAAAGCAAGTCCTGCTTCATAGGGGAATCTCCAGCACAGAAGCGCTTCTCTATCTGTGGTCCTCACTGCAATTGTCCTGGGGGTCAATCCCTCCTAATGATGCCAACATCAATGAAGGCTCAACTACAACAGGCCAATGTGTACACAGGAGCATCCCTAGAGTGCCCAGCTCAGGTGACTGGGAAGTCTGAGACATTGGGCCCTACAGGACACCTACTACACAAGGCTACTCTACCAATTCCAGGAAACATAGCAGCTCTACATAATATGTAAAAACAAACACAGGGAAGCAGCCTAAAATGTAGAGACAAAGAAACATTCACCAATGAAAGAACAGAAGAAATCTCCAGAAAAACAACTAAATGAAATGGAAGCAAACAATCAGATAGATTTCAAAACAATGGTTATAAGGATGCTCAAGGATCTTAATGAGAACTTAAAGGAATAGTGCAAACATCAACAACATAAAGAATAACCAGTCATAAATGAAGGGTACACTAGCTAAAATGAAGAATAATTTACATGAAATCAACAGTAGAGTAGAGAACACTGAGAATCAAATCAGCCATTTGGAATATGAAGAAGCAAAAAATACCCAATCAGAAGAGAAAAAGAAAATATGAAGATAGTGTAAGGAGCCTTTGAGACAACTACAAGCATACCAACATTCTCATCATGGAGGTGTCAGATGGAGAAGAAAGGAACCATGAAATTGAAACACCATTTGAAAAAATAATGACAGAAAAATTTCCTTACTTGGTGAAAGAAATAGACTTACAAGTCAAGGAAGCACAGAGCATCCCAAACAAGAGGAACCCAAAGAGGCCCACACCTAAACACATCATAATTAAAATGCCAAAGGTTAGCCTGGCTGTTGGGGCTCAGTTGTTGAGCACTGACCCATGAATTAAGAGGTTATTGGTTCAATTCCCAGTCAGGGCATATGCCTAGGTTGTAGGCTCAATCCCCAGTAGGGAGCATGCAGGAGGCAGCCAATCGATGTTCCTCTCTTATCAACGTTTCTATCTCTCTATGCCTCACCCATCCTCTCTATCTAAAAAACAATTAAAAAAGCATATTTTTAAATGCCAAAGGTTCAAGACAAAGAGAGAATCTTAAAATCAGCAAGAGAAAAGCAGTTAGTTACCTACAAGGTAGCATCCATAAGACTGTCAGCTGATTTCTCAACAGAAACTTTGCAGACCAGAAGGATGTGGCAAGAAATATTCAAAGTAATGAAAAATAAAGACCTACAACCAAGATTACTCTACCCAGCAAAGCTATCATTTAGAATTGAAGTTCAGATAAAGAGCTTAACAAATAAGAAAAAGCTAAAGGAATTCATCACCACTAAAACAGTATTACATGAAATGTTGAATGGTCCTCTTTAAGAAGAAAAAAAAAGAGCAAAAATATGAACAATAAAATGGCAATAAATATATATCTATCAACAATTGAATCTAAAAATCAAAATAAACGAACAAGGAATCTAGTAAACAAAATAAACTGCTGAATAACCAGAAGCCTGGAAACATGGAACAGACTGATGAATCTCATAGGGAGAGCATGAAGAGATTAACCAAAGAACTTATATGCATACTAGAGGCCCAGTGCATGAATTCATACATGGGTGGGGTCCCTCAGCCTTGCTGGTAATTGGGGCCAACAGGGGCCCTCTTGCCCAGTACCAATCAGGGCTGATCGTGGCTGGCCGGGCCAGGGAGAGGACCACTGGAGATTGGCCAGCCATGGGAGGTTGGCTGTGGGAGCACACTGACCACCAGGTGGCAGCTCCTGCATTGAGCCTCTGCCTCCTGGTGGTCAGTGTGTATCATAGCAACCGGTCGACTGGTCATAATGGTTGCTTAGGCTTTTATATATATAGAATATTGATATGCATTACACATGGACATAGACAATGGGGTGGTGAAGGCCTGGGGCAGGATGAGATCTGGGTAGAGTAAGGTAATGGGGGAGACATGAAAGGGGGACATCTGTAATACTCTCAACAATAAAGATTAAAAAATAGTAAGAGGTGAAATTTTTTATGAGTAAAGGTAAGTCAGTAAGACGAGAAAGTTCTAGGATAGGAAGACTACAATTTTAGAAAGGGTGGTCAGGCAGGTGACATTAGAGCAAAGATTTGGTGGAGATGAAAAGTGAAATATGAGGCTATAAGAGGGAAGAGGGTTCCAGTCAGAAGGAACTCAAGTGCAAAGGCCGCCAAGGCAGGTCTGTGCCTAGAATGTTAGAAGAACAATGAAACTAAGTTGGAGCCAACAGAGTGAGTGGTGGACTTGTACAAGAAGGTCAGAGAAGCAATGTGATGCAACATGTGTAGGGCACTGTCAGATACTTGCATTTTCCTTTGAGAGACTGAAAGCCTTAGAAGGTTTTGAGCCAAAGGAAAACCTGATCAGATTTACATATTTAAAGAATCACTCTAGCTGCTCTGTGCAGAAACAACATAGTAAGAATTAAAGGCGGAGCAACAAGGGATGGAAGAACAGATGCAAGAAAGTAAGTTAGGAAGGTACTCCAAACCCCCAAATGAAAGAGCATGGTGGAGAGGTGGCAGCTATGATTCAGGATATATATTTTTAAACACATTTTTATTGATTTCAGAGAGGAAGGGAGAGGGAGAGAGAGATAGAAACTTCAATGATGAGAAAGAATCATTGATCAGCTGCCTCCTGCATGCCCCCTACTTGGGATGGATGGGAGGATAGAGCCCACAATCTGGGCATGTTCCCTGATTGGGAATCAAACTGTAACCTCCTAATTTATACATCAATGCTCAACCACTGAGCCACACCTGGCCAAGCTC